TATTAGCAGGTTGCAGTCATTCATTGGGTCAAATTAGAGGGTGGAACTATGTTGGAAAATGACACTATTGGGTCAACTATTATGAATTCATGTAAGTGAACCTCCTGCAGCTCTCTCTCTCCTAAAATTGTGAGTGAGAGGACTTATAAATTTGAATCGGTTGAATTGGATTGATTGGGTCAAATGTAGGCGAGGATTAAAATATCGATATTAAGGCAAATCATATTTGCATATTTGCACTGGTGCATCAAGATACACATGAATACACATACTGATGCAAACACAAGAGCTTTAAAATTTTTAGAACTTTGGGATGATACATGACATCCTTTGATGCTAATAATCAGTCATATCGATATTTGGGATTTTGGGTATTGGGCATATCAATATTTTAATCATTCAATGCAGGTTGTGTTGAACACAAATGTATCCTTTATAGCTGTTGGTTGTTAAATTGGATGCATGGGTTACTGTTCAACCAAAACCCATTCATAATGGCTGGGAAAGTTAAGTAATCCACGTGTGCACAGGCGCTTCCCTTTCTATCCAAGAAACATTCACTCATTAGGCTCCATGTGTCTGTAATGTGAATTTCATTTGCACAGATCTATATGTTCCTTCGTTCTAATTTATTTTTGCTTCACATTTGACTTATTTGTTTTTTGAGCAGTAAAATGATGCGGTCCCCACTTTATATGAAAGAGAATGGAGATAGAAAGAAGGTTATTTGTTTGGACTTTGGAGAAGTAAAAATGGAAGGCAACTTTATACCAAAGAATCAACTAGGAGGAATGTGGTGCAAATTTTGCATCAGCTTTTTAAATGCAAAATTTGCATTGCCAATAAATGCTAATGTTGCATGAGGTAGGAATGCAGGTCATAGTTATAAGAAAATACTGAACCAGGTGCAAAATATGTATCTGGTTCAGATTTGCACTGCAAATTAACACACAAAGCTTTAGTAAAAGGAGGAAAACTTCATTACAAAGATGGATAAGAAAGCCACTTCACAAGTGTCCCCAGCATGTTCATTTGACCATCTTTGAAAGAGATTATAACTGTTTGAGTTCTCTCATCCCAAATGTTTGGCGTTTCTCACAAGATCTCACATAATTTTAGCAGATCTTAGCCACAGCCACCCCACAAAACCAAACCGAGCTGATTAGGTTCAACCCAGGGTAGTAAACCAAGTCCTTTGATTATTGGCTAAACTCAACTTAAAACATTCTAGATGATTCATCAAGAAGAAAATAATATAAATAGGGGCCCCATGCCCAAATGGGGACCCAAGACCCAAATACAGATGGATCGGGGATTCAGATATTCTCTCTCCTTCCTTTCCCTTCTCTTTAACACCACCAATATTTTTTCTTCTAACAGAGAAATATGGGGGCATGACCCCTCACTCGAGGGTACATAGTACATAGTGTAGCCCCTCTAAGGTCCACCAATTTATATCTTCCCCATGTTCATCCTTTTACACTTGGCATCCCTGCAAAAAATGGAGGTGTGGGATAAAACCTGCAAAACCACAGCCTCACCGTGGTAAGGCTAGTAGACCTCATGTGCGCCTTACTCAGTCTCCACTAGGGGTGAGCAAATGGGTAGGTTCTATCCGGAGAATGGAACTGACCATGAACCAACCCTACCCGATCTATTACAAGGTAGGGTTTGGTTCCAAATTCTTGGAACCAGCCCCCACCTAGGTCGGTTCCAGGGTCTAGGGGTTTACCCTATCCGAATCGATCCGATGAACCGGCCTTGATTGCCCTTTGGTGGAACCGTACTTTGAATTGAACTTTAAGGATGTGAAGATTTGAGCCCAAGCACTCATGATTACAAAAAACCATGGTCTCACTTGACCATCTAGTTACTTAAGCGATTTGATCATTTGTTTTCATTTTAATATTTGTATGTGTATAATAAATAATATAAGAGGTAATATTTACAAAATTTAAATCCTAATGACGAAATTTCAACCATATATTAATATATTATAATAATCTACATATTAAATTACATAATTTAATCAATAAAGATAATATAAGTTTTAAACTATATATTATCATTATTAAAAGTCAAGTTTTTGAAGGGCATGTTTCATTCTTTTTTCTTGAAGAGGGAGAATAAAGAAAGAACAGGTTCCATGGGTAGACCTTGGAACCGCCAAGGCCAGAACCAACCTTCACAGGGTAGGTTTTGGTTCGAAAAGCCTAGAATCGACCCCTACAGGTTAGGTTCTAGGTTCTGCCAAGGAACCGAATCAAATCGACCCATGCTCTCCCCTAGTCTCCACCCTGATGTAGTTCATGGTTGTGCAGTTACTTTAGTAAAAGGCTGCGAGGAGATGTACAATAAAAACTCTATTTTTTTTATAAGCAACTGAATATGTATTAAAAGATGCTCCACCTACTAAAAAACAAAGTAGTAGGGCATAGAAACAGAGTACAAAGGAAAGAAACACCCCTGAAAAACACCCTTCAATAGTGTATAATAAAAGCCTATTAAATGGCATATGGGAGGGCTTTCATGTTGTGGCTTTTGGCTTTGCAAGGTGAGGTCCACTTGGAAAGCCTATAAGCAATATTTGATAAAAGTAAAAATCTATATAGCCAAATTGATCATGATCACAAGTATTGAGATGGTTTTCCCTCAAGCCTTTTCCATTAGCTTCAAAGAAGCTAAACAATAGTATTACCCTTACCTGTTTTAACCCCCAACTTAAACTACCCAAGGGCCCAAGCCATAGGTAGCTACCAAATCTTTTGACTTTAGACTTTGTACTATCAAAAAACAAAAGATAAAAAGAATCTTTTGCCTTTTGACGTGCATGTGCATTAAATGTAGAAAATGATGATGATGATGATGTTGATAATCTCCTTGTCACAATTCATATAAAAAAGATATATAAGTGAATCTATGTAACTAAGGGCCTATTCACATTTCCTCTTAATTCTTATCTCTTAAGACGAATCTTTTAATTTTAAGAGAAAATTAGTTGTTCGTCTCCTCCTATCTCTTATTTCTTTAAGTATAATCATACAACTTTTTATTTTCCAATGATACCCCCAAAAAGACAAACAAAAACTCTCATATATGGGATGAAAATGGATATTTGATAATTTTCAGAATTCAGAACAACATTCTCTACGTTCAAAGTTCAGAGAAAAGAAAAATTCACCAATACCAATATACCTCTTAATGTAATTATTGCACTTTTATATGTCATACTTTAGAACAAATGAACAGGTCCTAAGATAAATAATTGAATCATGGTATATAGTGGATTTTTGTGCATTTCAACTTCAAGACTTGCTTTGAATCTTCCTACTTTTAGCTTATATTGAAGTTTAAGTCATAGTTGAACTAGATAACTAGATTAAGGGTCCATTTGGTTTACAGTCAGAATCGGAATGGTCTATTCCCATAATCTGTTTGGTTTAGATAGGAATGATAATGGGAATTGAAATCAATAAGATTAATATTTCATTTCCAAGGAAGGGTCAGGGAATGACCATTCCCTCAAATGGGGGAATGCCATTCAAGCAAGAATGGGAATGGGATTCCGATTCTATACAACCAAACAGTTTGGAAATATAATAAGCCCATTCCAATTCCAATTCAGGACCGCTATTCCTACGAATCAAGCGGGGCCTAGTTGATCTATCCTTTTACTTAGATTTTTGGGTTTGGTTCATCCCAAACCACCCTTTTTTTATGTAAAAAAACTTTGACTTTGTCAACAACCCAATTGCATGGTTAAACCACTAACCCATTTGACTTGGTCTATGAGTCATGGGTTAGACATTAATTATCTTTTTTGTATGCTTATCCATTTTCATCATTTATAACAATATTTATCATTTATCACTCATTTATTTTGTTTAATATGATGAACATATAATATTAGAGATGTGCTTAAAGGTTTCTATAAAATTTATGTTTTTTTATATTATTTTTATATTTCTATCTATTTTTAAATTTATATTGTTTCATGAGGGGAGTTGAATTACCAAGGTGTTTCATACTAGAGTCATCATTTCTCCAAGGTGCTTCCAACATGTGAGCACTAGGCATTTTGCTCTCTCCCTCATTTTTTTTTTCTATTTGGACTCTATTTTTTAGAAGGCTAGTGAGAAAATGTCGTTGTTGAGAGTTTCTTGCATTGGAAACAATATTTTCATCTTTTTGCCTATGTGGTGCCTAATGGTCTTTGATCGGCACAAAATAACAGTATAAAATGTGCACAAAAGCCAAAGCTAATTTACCAAATAGCCTTCGTTTTATCTTAAAAAACTGCAATGATACCAAACATCTCCGAGGGAGTCAAATTCAGAAGTAGCTAGGGATGTTTCAGTCGAAGAAAAGCCCATAAACACTATAGAATATAGATAACTGCTTTTTATAACAGTATCCATACAGACGTAGATTAGAACAGAAGAATTCTTTTATTCTCTCCCCATCTAAGAACTTGGTTTATGATATCGTCAAAAAAAAAAAAAAGATCTAAGAACTTGGTAATAGAGATGTTAAACAGATTCCAATCTGCAGCAAAAAAGCGCCCCTTCAAATGAGGGTCCCTCACTGAACCAAAACGGCAAAACCCTCCAATTTGAAGGAAGTAAGAATGGTAAGATACTACTCCAGGATCAGCACATTTCACAATGTGATAACGACATAACCCTTGTCGAATCTAGAAAACTTGGTAGGACCATCCTACTAGGTCTCTCTCTCTCTCCCTCCGAGTATCACAGATCACGGCGACTGAGGTGTCGTTACAGTTCAAACTTTCCTCATCTGATACTACAAAATCCGTGCAAGAAATATATACGAAAATGCAAATTTGGACTCTCTCTCTCTTTCTCTCTCTCATTTCCTTATAAAAAACCATTCATTCTTCCTCTCCAAACACACAACCACGTAAAAGTGTAAAACCCATCTCTCCATCTGTTTGTTTATCTTCTTCTGGTGGGTATCCAGAACTGATCGAGATTGGATAGATGGGTCTCTGGTCTCATCGCAGTTCCTCCTCTGCAGCCTCTGTTGCTTTACTGCTGTTGGTCTGTCTTCTCCAGCAGACCAATGCGAATGATGATGGGCAACTAATCAGCAACAGATTAAAAGGGGCGAATGGCTGCAATTACTTCCAAGGCAGTTGGGTTTACGATGATTCCTACCCGCTCAACAATTCGTCGCAGTGTCCTTTCCTCGAGCATGAGTTCACCTGCCAGAAGAACGGCCGGCCGGATCACATGTATCTCAACTATAGATGGAACCCCACTGTTTGTCACTTGCTAAGGTAGATTTATTTATTTTCTTCTTCTTCTTCCTATTGTTTAGAGTTTAGCCCAATGGTGGGATTTTTGGGCCGGGCTTCAACTTCAGGAGGAGGGTCAGACAGACAGACACCGTTGCTTGCTGTTGCTGACACCTGAGTTGCTGCTCTATCCGGACTCCGGAGGAACATCTTTATGGGCTGGACCAATCCAAAATTTACCCTATTTGTGGGCCTACCGTGAAACATTTTGACTTGGGCCAAAGAGGGCGGTCCAAATCCAACCTGAAAAAGTCCGGTTTCGTTGGTTCGGATTGAAATTAGGATTGAAAAGTATAAGTTAGAATTGACTTTGGATTGGATTAGGGTTAAAGGCTTCATATTTATATAAATATTTATTTATGTATATAATTTGTAGCATGTATCATATATGTATATAATATACAATTATACATCCATAAATGCATGTCTGTATGTCTGTCTTTCCAATAAAGCTGAAACTGAATTTACTTCAACCTTAACATTTGACAAAATGTAGAGAAATTGACCCAACCTGAACCCAACAAGAGCCTAACCCAATCCCAAGGCAACCCAACTCGAAACATTGGGTAGAATTAAGGTTGACCTCAACCCGGCCCAACTCGGTGCAACTTATTATAAACTTTTTTTTTGTACATTTTATGGACTTAGATTAGTAGTTACATACAAATTCTGAATGAAATTATACGATATTGAAGGTTCAACGGTGAGGATTTCTTAAGGAGATTGAGAGGGAAAAGCATCATGTTCGTAGGGGACTCGCTCAGCCGGAACCAGTGGGAATCACTGACGTGCTTGCTCCACACTGCAGTCCCACACGCCAACTACACACTCCAGCGACAAGACGCCCTCTCCAACTTCACTTTTCCGGTTGCTACCTTGCTTTCCTCTGAAACATCTCCATTAATAAGTAATCAGTGTTTGTTAGAACCGGAAAGCTCACTGGGTCACCGGTTCATCAGTTCAACCACTGGGTCCCAGCAGAGTCAGAGTGTGCTAACACAGAAAAGTCCAGACACATTGTTGATTGTCCAGTCCATTTACACCAGACCCCAAGACAAGAGCCCATCATGAACGTCAACCACTCTTGCATTGAAAAACTAAACATGAAGACGTTGGCCTTTGGGCTGGGCTGGGCCATTTTATAATCTCATCTGTTAAATGCGACAAGGATCATGTGGGGCCCACGAAGTTTTAGTCTCTGCCTGATTGGGGCTTGCCACTGTAAGTTGAAGGACGACTTCTTCGGCCTTTGACTGAGCCACTTGATAATCTCATTCTCAACGGTTAAATGGGACAAGGTCACAAGGGATCATGTGGGGCCCAAGTTTTTTTTTTGTCTTGTATTGGCCCACGTGGCAACTTGAAGCAGTATGTGCGCCTAAACAAGTTGATAAAATGTGTTGCAGGAGTATGGAGTTTCAGTGATGCTGTACCGCAATGTGTATCTGGTAGACATTGTAAAAGAGAAGATTGGCCGAGTTCTGAAACTCGACTCGATTGAGGGAGGCAAGACATGGAAAGGCATGGATATGTTGATCTTCAATACATGGCATTGGTGGAACCGCAGGGGCAGCATGCAGCCGTGAGAACTAATCCTGAAAGCCTTGGGATTATTGATTTATGACTCAGAGTTTGTTTGAGTTGATTGGTGAAATGAATCAAATAACAGATGGTGGTGATGAAGTGTTTTTTGTGTTGCAGATGGGACTTCATTGAAGTAGGGAACAAGATTTACAGAGACATGGATCGTATGCTTGCTTTTGAGAAAGCACTTCTCACTTGGGGTGGATGGGTCGATTCCAGCATTGATCCACTGAAGACGAGAGTCTTCTTTCAGGGAATTTCTCCATCCCATTACAAGTAAGCTTCTTGGACCCTTTATTAGAGCTCTCTGTTTTGTTTGCAGTGCAAAATTGAAATTTTTAATCCAGTTCGGTTTTGCTTCCTTTTGTCTGTAATTATGATTTGCATTCCTATCTTGTACAAAATTTACACCACATTCTTCATATCTCCATTATCTCTCATGTAAAGTGAATGCAAATATGTAGAGTCTAAAACAGTCCATATAAATTACAAAGTTGGGTTAGTTTTGCACTGATAAATTTATATTCTTACTGAATAGACTTTTAGCTGTTATGGGAAATCGGATTCAGTCAGAGCAAAGTCTATCGGAACAGCCATCATAGCCTTGCATTGGGAATATTTTCCCATGAAATAAAACACAGAAGTACGGAGATATTCCCAATGAAAGGTTGTAAGGGCTGTTCGAACATGAACATGCCTTGCTCTCACTGAAGCGGACCTCCTGTTATGGATGCAAACACATTCCAATAAAGCATGTCTTTTTTTTTTTTATAAAAAATCTAATTGAATGCAAATTTACTTCTTTTTTATTGATATACTTTTACATCTTATTATCAATGTAAATATGCATTGAAAAATATATTTTCTGTCATTTATCCATGTATAAATACAATGCAAATTTACCTGTAACTCAGAGAATTTACACTCAACCTATTTCAACTCCCATGCATTTAGACAACTGAGTATGAAATTTTAATCGCAAACATGAGGTATTGACGACAATATATATATGGAATGGATGGATGCCTTGAAATGATGAGCTAGGTGATTTTATGGATATGTTTAAGAGGGAAATCAGGCAACTAATCCCCTCTTAAAAGTTAAACAATGGCCAAGTATGATTACGTTTGAGAGGATCATCAATAACTATTTGGATGTGCTTCTGTTTTTGAGCTTTGCACCATGAAAAAACAAAATGAGCACACAAGTGTTTTGAGTCCTCGGTAAGAGTTGACTTTAAAATCATAACAATCTGAGGCTAAAATACTATTAAGCCTTGATAAAATCATAACAATCTGAGCCAAAGTACTTTTAAGCCCCGAAGCATGCATAAAGCCTAAAATTGAGGCTTTTTGCTCTTAGACTTTAAAAGCAAAATCCTAAGGTTTATAGAAACGCTAACATATTACATACTTTTGACTATGAATCTCAGATATGCAGCCTTGTTTTTCAGTGATATGGGCATTCTGTCATAGGGAGAGACTTTCTAGAGTTTTACTAATTTATTGTGTTTGGTGATAAGCTTCAGGATTTATGCTTTCAAAGCCAAAGAGCTAGCATATATAAATCCCCAAATTCAGGGCCTGTTTGGGAGAATTGAGCTGATGAAGATTCAACTAAGCCGGTTCAACTGCTAATGAAGTTCTGGACAAGGCATTCAAAGAGGCTGAAGCAGCCGATTTGGGCTGTCTGTGTTGGGGTGTGGGACCCACCTTGGAAAGCCAAGAGCCACTATACTTCAGAGTTCAGCCGCCCTCCCAAGCATGCACTTAGGCTTTATGCTTTGGGGCTTAAAACCGCGTTTTGCTTTAGATTATTATGCTTTTAAAAACAACTTTTACCAATTAAACGTTCAACACACACATTAATTGCCTCGTTTTTGTTTTCCATAGGCCAAAGTTGAAAAGCAAAAGCATATTCAAACTGAGGACCCATTTTTGTTTTCCATACGAAGCAGTACTGAAGTTGGTGTCCACGTACCATTACATGCATCCTCGATCGTTGCTCTGAAACTATATAGCTAGAATTGGATTTCATAATCAAATTCATGTATTGCTATACTTGTTGACCTCTAATTGTTTTCCTATGTCCTCTTATGACTGAAACAGAGGCACCGAGTGGAATGAGCCGAATAAGAACTGCCTTGGACAGACGCAGCCTGTGAATGGGTCTACAAACCCAGGACCAGGAGCTTCACCTCCGGCCTTATATGTGCTCAAGAATGTGTTGAGGAAAATCTCCAAACCTGTCAATCTGCTTGACATTACTGGCCTTTCGCAGCTGAGGAAGGATGGCCACCCATCTATCTATGGCTTTTCTGGGAAAGAGGGAATGGACTGCAGCCACTGGTGTCTGCCTGGTGTTCCTGATACTTGGAACCAACTTCTATATAATGCTCTTATACATTGAATTGAAGAAAAGAAATAGTAATTATTGGATTAAACATCAAAATAGTATATTTTAAAAGGGTGACCATTATAGATTATATATTCCATGTTATATCTAAGTACATGATATTATTGATGTTCCATATATGATTTATGTATACCATTTTCTTTTTCTTTCTTTTTGTTCTTTTTAAAATATTTAGTATTACTAAATTTATTTGCAGATAAATGCAGACTCATTTGCAGAAATATTGCAAAGCAACTATAAATTCATCAAGTCACCAATCGCAAGCAAACAGGTTTAAGCTTCCAATTAATCTAAAATTCAAGCCAACCATGCATCCATACCTAAGAGTAAGAGTAAGGGTGTCAATGGACCGGTTTTGAATTGGATCCATCTAATCCAAAATCAATTTGGACGGGCCAATAAGACATATCGGATTGGACTAATTCAGTTCAAAATGTTTATTAGATTGGATTGGACTTGGTCCGTTCATAATAAATTTATATTGGATTGGATTGGATTGGATTAAGCTAATATCTGGTCTATTGATATAATAAGATAAGAATATAGGTGTTAATGGACCAGGTTTGGATTGAAATCAATCTAAATTAAAAACAAATTTGAACAGGTTGAATGGTCCAAACATTGAATTAGATCGGTCTAGAATGGTCCAAAATATTCATTGAACTGGATTAGACTTGATCCATTTATAATGGACTCACATTGGACTGGATCGGATTGGACCAAATCCAATCCAATTGACACCCGGCCCCTACCTAAGAGGCTTAGACCCACAAACAATGAAACAACCAAATGTTGAAGGATATTTTCTATAGAATGGAAACTAATTTTGGCAAATTATTCCAATAATTTTATTAATTTTCTATTATTCAGAGTGTGTTCTTTTTTTTTGGTAAATTATTCAGGATTCAAGTACCGTATTGATTTTTCCTTTTTCTTTTTTATATATATTACATACTACACACATTACAGGGGAATAGGGAGTGAGGGAGAGCAGGGTGTATGTGAGGCACATTGGCCATAAACACCATATTGATAAAGTCATCAATATATAGAAAATTAAAAACGCTTTTTTGTCTTAATTTTTCATTTAAGAAATTTAAGGTTGTATTTGGTTTGATAAAAATAAAAAACAAATAGAAAATTGAGGAAAGGTTCTTCAGAAATTTCGTAAAGAACTTACCCTCAACCTTTTATTTCTCTTATTTTCCATAAAATCAAACATAGCCTAACCTGCTGTTTATTTTTCTTCCCGGAATCCCGGGTGTCACTGTTTTTGCTTGACTTAAAGTGGTAACCTCCCTGCCCCCGGCCCCCAATAACCAGACACATATAAATTAATAAATAAATAAAACAAAGCAAAATTACTTATTAATCACACATATAGCTTCTCTAGCATTTATGCTTTTCAACCTCTATTTATTAGCTTCTCTGTTTGATTATAATAGTAATGAAATTTGAAAACTGAAGCACTTTTCAACCTTTAATCTAGTTAGTGTGGCTACATGTTTGTTCAGTTTGCGTGCTACTAATTTCTAATCTTATGTATTTTGTTTTTTTGCCATTATTAATTTACAATTTCTCAATTTATATGTAACAAAATAAGTTATATTTCATTTGCCTACATGTTTTTTAATTTATATATACAAGCATTACTGAAATTATCTTGATGCCTTCTCGTTATTCATTTTTTTTTTTATATTTTAGTCTTAGGCCTGATCAACTCTTCATTCTATTATGCCTCAACTACACCTTTAACTGCTTAATTATTAATAAAAACTGATGGTGGCTCAGTTGGTAGGTTCTCTGACTCGTCAGAGTAGAGACCTGGGATTAAATCCCGCTGCCACCACGGGTTTGTGGGGGTTAAGGGAAAGGGGATGGGCTACCCCCTGTGTTGTAGCCCCATGAAGCCAGATACAAATTTTGCACTCAGTTCAAGCCTGCATCAATTTGTTTGCGATTAGGGAAATTGTCTAAAACTCACCATGGGTTTTCAATATTTCCCTTAAACTCACCACAACTTTTCAAAATGTCTAAAACTCACCATGTCAGTAAAGTTTTGTTTTTCAAAACTCACCTTCTGTTAGTGCACCGTTTATGCTTCTTAACAGAGGTATCCATGTCAGCATAAATAACAATTTTCATGACCAAATTACCCTTGAATGGCGAGTTAGAGGAAAAATGGTATTTTTTAGTTTTTAATTTTCTTTTTTTTTTGCATTTTTAGTATTTTGTTATAATTTCCAATGTTTTTTATAATTTCTGTTTTTTTATAATTTTTTATTTTCTACAATCTATAAAATTTCCTGTATTTTTTGTTATTTATTTGTAATTTATGTGTTTTTCTATAATTTTTGGTGTTTTTTCTACAATTTTTATTTTCTGATTTTGTTTTTCAATTTCTATAGTTTCTATAATTTGAAAATAATTTTTATTTTGTTTGCAATTTTTATAATTTATATATATATTTTTTGTAATTTCTATGTTTTTATGTATTTTATATTTGAAAATATTTTTTGAATTTTTCCTTTTTCCATGTCTAAATATTAAAATGGTAATATATTAATAGCCATTAATTTATTTTGTATATATTTTATATTTTTCTATGAAGGTTAAAATGGTAATATATTAACACCCGTTAGTTTGTTTAAYGTCAAGTTDGTGACATGGTGAGTTTTAGACATTTTGAAAAGTTGTGGTGAGTTTAAGAGAAATGCTGAAAGCTCATGGTGAGTTTTGGACAATTTCCTTTGCAATTATGATTTATATTTCTACTTGTTTCAAAATTTTGCATCTAAAAGCCTAATGCAAAATTTGCATCACCTTCTTTTATCTTAATTAATTAATAGTCTCATAAAAGTGGGGACCACATCACTTTGCTCCCTAATTTACTCCAATCTCAAGCAATTTGACCTTCACCTTTCCTCCATTCTCTTTCACATGAAGTGGAGATCACATCATTTTACTTCCTGCTTTTTTTTTTAATAAACAAAATATGAAGAAAAAGTAAACCAAAATTTAATTTGCAATCCCCTGCACTTACACTAATGCAAATGACACAGTACAAACAAAGTCTAGGGTTCAGTTTGGGAAGAGTGCAAATTAATAGAAATATGTTGAGTGCAAAACCTTGTATTCGATATTTCTAAACCTTATATTTTTATTATACATATTTGTATTTGCACTCTTCTCAAACTCAGCCTAACTGATTATCTTTAAAAATAGCAAATTAATACTACCTTATTATAGCTCTTACGATCCTTTTAAAACATAATCTTTATATTTGACCCTTAATAATTTAACTAATATTATTTGATATATTTATACAGTGCTTATGGCTGTTTTTGTCTGCAGTGCAGATCTAAACCTTGTAGAAGTTCTGCACTTGATTTAGTTTTGCATCTATTTGTTTGTAATCGTAATTTGCATTCTTATGTGATACAAAAATTGTACTTTTTGTCTCATAAACTTCGATTTTTCAAAAACCAGTGCAAAATTTGTAACACCTCCCTCCTACATCAATTCTAGACCACATCATCTTGCTTCTTACCAACTAACCCTCCTCTCTCCATCCTATTTTATATTTTACTTCCTATAGTACTCCCACAAACAAACTGAACCTAAAGATTAATTGAAGGTAAATATTAAAATATAATAATTAACAATAATTTAAGGTAAATCAACCAAACAACTTAGACAATGCAAATATACAATTACACTCGGTGGCATGGTTTTCAAAATCGGATTGGACTGGACGTTCAGACCGGAAAAACCGAGAACTGGTTAGGTGTTTGGTTCCATTTTTTCCTAAAATCGGGATTTCTCAAAAAACTGTTGATTTTGGTGAGCAAATTGCTGACCCAAGCAGTTAACCGTTCGAACTATTCGAACTGTTCAAATGGTTTTAACCGTTATTTATTTATTTTTATTTTTTTATTTGAACGATTGGACCGTTTGACCCAGTAACCGGACCCTGACCGGTTCGGTCTCCGGGTCGATTTTAAAAACCATGCTTAATGCCAGTGGAGTTCCATTTTACCCTTAATTTATTATTTTATTCTTTGTTTAACCCTTCTCCCAAAGAAAGAACCTAACTCAGCTGCACTTTGAGATTCGAGAGAAAAGAAAAATGGAGCAAACAAATCTTTGCTTGGAAGGATGAGAACCATACAATTTTGCACCATGTAATGATGAGAAACTTCCTTTACGTCACGACAGAAACAGAGTCACATAAACAGTTTCGCTGTTCCCCACTACCCACAACAAAATATGTATATATGTGTATATATATTCCTTGTCTAGTTGTCTTCATCAACTTAACAAAACCAAACTCAACCTACGTCCTTCCTCCCTGTCTCCTCCTTCCTCTCACCTCCCATTGGTTCACATTCTACTGTTTTACTTCAAAGTTACTGCAATGAGATCTCATCGATCAAGAGCTCATTCTCATTATATTACACTGAAAGCCTTTCTCCCTTTCTGAGTTTCTTCTGTTCACCACTTTCAGTGTTATTCTCTGCTCTTGCAGTCTGAAAATCAAGTAATATGGGAAATGGGTTTCTTATCTATAGCTCAGTTTTTGCTGTTGTTTTGCTAATTTTATCATATGCCGAGCAAACGAGTGCAGAACGTGAACACATTGATAATGTAGACAGAATAAGATCAGCTGGATGTGATCTCTTCCAAGGGAGTTGGGTGTTTGATGATTCTTATCCTCTTTACAACAGTTTGGATTGTCCATTCATCGATAAGCAATTCGACTGCCTGAGGAATGGGCGGGCTGATAAGCAATTCCTCAAATACAGATGGAAGCCCAACGCCTGCGACTTGCCAAGGTAAGGCCCCTTCTAACCCATCCACCACCTCTCAGAAACACTCTCACTTCTGCTCACTTCTTCTTCTATGGATTTTGATTTAGTCAGGGATCACTTGGCCTTGGGAAGCCATCAATAATTGGAATCTAATTTAGATTTATGCCCCACCTTGTATTTTCCCATCAGTCTGATCATCTGATAACAGTCCAATGGTTGGTTACTTAGAAGCAGCCCTGAAAGCTGAAACACCCCCCACCCATCTCAAAGAAGAAGAAAGAAAAAGAGCAAAAAGAAGAAAATCTGAGCTAGGGATCTCTCCTTGAAATCCAACCCTTTTCTCTTTATCATTGAGAAATGGGAATGTGGGCATAATAGGATAAAAAAAACAAACCGGACAGGATGGACCGGCTGACCCTGGACTGATAAGCCCTTAAACGGTTCGAGTGAATTCAAAAGCCGACGTTGGACGAATTTGGATTCTGATGTTGTAAACTGATGTTAATTTTATGGTGTAGATTCAATGGAGAGTATTTCCTAAGAAGGTTTAAAGGGAAAAAGATCATGTTCGTGGGGGACTCGCTAAGCCTGAACCAGTGGCAATCACTGATATGTATGCTTCACGCTGCAGTGCCACAAGCAAAGTACACGCTAAGGAAGATGGGCACTCTCTCCAACTTCACATTGCCGGTGAGTCCTCCTAAGCTTCATTTCGTTCAGTTTTGGAATTTCAATCCTTTGTTTGGATCCCACACGAAATGAAAATACGTTTGATCATTCAGTTATAGGCTTATAGCCTAGAGGCCCTAGACCAGACCTTCACACTGATAAATTGATAGTGTGTTGTCTGGTTTTCATTAAGGGTGCAATTTGGGCGGGTTTAGCGTTGGGTTTTTGTCAAATTTTGAACAGATCGAGCCCAAAGCCTAGTGTAAATGCTAATTTGAGCCAACCTGAGTTGCACCCCTAATTGTGATGGATGTAAATGCGATTCTCAAGGCTGGAACCATCTATATATATTGACCAACAACTTGAGTGTATATTTTGCTCCCATTAATGGTTCAGCCTGAGTACAAATTCGCTTCACTTTTTGCATTTGCATTCTTAACAATTATTTTACACTCCTAAGTCCTAACCAATTAAAAGTAGAAAAATAACATTCTTACCAAACGCATCTTTTGAGATTTTGGTGTGCTTTTTATTTGCTTTGATCGCTCTAAGATAGACCAACTTGGAAAGTGTAGATGTGGGGCACAGTCTGAGTCTGCCCATTGGCCAAGGTTGGACCAACTGCATCCTTGGCTAGTTAGACTAACCTTTCGCCCTGGCAAAAGACCAGTTCCTTCATTAATTCTCTTCTTCACTCCCCTTGAAAGAGTCCGGATTTCCATCAGAGGCCATTTTCTTCGTCGAAGGCGAAACGAAGCAAGCTTAGTTATAATTCCGCAGGATATTAATAATATAAGAGAAATGGCAAGTTGGCAACCCTGTTTTGGACACACTAAGGGCCCGTTTGGCTCGTGGGAATAAGGGTTTGGAATCGGAAATTCTAATTCCAATTCCAACTGTTTGGTTGGGTGGAATTGGAATTCCATTCATTTTTTCTGGTGGGATGGCATTCCTCAATATGAGGAAATAGTCATTTCCTCTCCCTCCTTTGGAAATGAAATCTCATTCCAGCTTATTCCAATTATGGGTGAGCATTATTCGTTTAAAACCAAAAAACCAAGCTGAAAATTTCGGTTTCGGTTTTTTTGATTCAATTTTTTGTTATTTTGGTTTTGTAAAATTTTGGTTTTGGTTTTTAGGTTTATAAATCCGGTTAATTGAAAAAACCGAAGTAACCAAACTTTATTGTGTATAATATATATATTAACATATAATACATATATAATATGTATAAAATATATTATATTATGTATTAAAGTATATAGTTTATTATATACATTGTATAATATATTTTTTAATATATATATATATATATAGTGTTGAGACTCGGTTTTAACCGAAATAACAAAAAATTGAACAAAAAATTTCAGTTTTTCAATATTTCAGTTGCAATTTGGTTTTTCATTTAAAATTTTCGGTTTATTCAGTTTGGTTTTTAACCAAATAAACCATTTGCTCACCCCTAATTCCAGTTCCTGTCTGAACCAAATAGACTATGGGAAGAGATCATTCCAATTCCAATTCCAATTGTGAACCAAACGAACCCTAAGCTTCTTTGGTCATGGAGTACAATTGGGTGGGCTGGGCTAAGTTTATGGTAAACCCAGGTCCAGCTGTAAGATTTGGGCCCAAGGCCCGATCTCAACCCGGACCCAATTTGTACTGAAATTTGATACACTCGGGCTTGGCCTGGATTTGGATTGGTTAATGAGCCCACTTTAAAATTTGACATGATGTGTGCATGTCAAATATATATCTATATATGTATGTATGGATGTGTATAGTAATAGTTGGATTGGGCTTAGTTTGGAATAAGACTGGGTCAGATATGGGCTACCTAAGGGATATGAACCCTGGCCCAACCCAAAAAAATAAAAAAAAGAACCCAAAGTCTTAGACCCAGGTCCAGGCCGAGGACCGAAAATCCAAACCAGTCCATATAAAATTGCAAACTAGGTCAGTCCAAACTAGGGTTAGGCTCACCCAAGTTGCACCCCTACTTGGCTGCTTTTCTCTCCCTATTTTTCTTGAAGCCAAACACAAGTTTTGCCACTGAGCCATTAACAATTCCTCATATACCACATCAAAAACATGCGACAAAGAAAGCTATTTCCTTGTATTTTCCTATTACCAAAAGAATGCCCATGATATTCTCTTTTCCACCTATTCTTGTATTGTATTCATTTTAGTAGTTATGAATTTTCATGAGATTAAGTTATTGTTTAAATTATTGATCAAATGGTTTTTTCTTGAAAAGAGATAAAAAGCATTTTTTTTTCTTGAAAGAAAGAAAAAAGGCATTTCAATGAATCATCCTAGCTCCAATTACCCACAATGGTCATAAAATTCTAAAATAAAGTGATGCTTAAACCTTGACAATATCTTTAGAATAGAGAAACAACAATGAGCCAATGACCAACTCTTGGAGACTCATCTATTTCTTTATATAATGTGTCGTCTTTTCATGGGTCCCACCATATATGCTGTGTGAGCTATTCAAAGAGTTGCATAAAATCACTGTTTACTAAACAAATGAGAATTCCATTGTCAATGTTCTCTTTTATTTATTTATTTATTTAAATTTTAAAGTAATATCTAGCTTAGGATCCCTTCCTTTACATGCTTTAATTATTTTAAATTTTTTATGAGACTTTTTGTCATTTTTTATATAAATGGAAAAAGGAAAAGTAAAAGAAAAAAAGATTGTGGCAATACTTTAGGTATTGGATTGTCTAGTTGCAATCTTACTTGAGTCCGGACTTGATTTCTATTGATTATTTATAGGGGTGGCTATTTTGCTAATTTCTGAATTTCTGAACCTGCTGAACTGAATTGCTTATTGTTTTGTAATTCCACAGACAAGATGGTTGCCTCTCATGGAATTACTTGTACACTAAATGGGCCTAGTTTTTTTTTCCTGAATTCAGTACTTATTTCTGCCACTTTTAAAGCAAAAACCTTTTTTCACCCTTTATAATTTGTTTTGATTTAAATGAGAAAAAAACATGGTTGAAGGAGCTTAATTTTGACTTGTCAAAGATTTATTCCAATCCAAGGTCAGCATGGGTATGCCAGTAAGACTAAGTAGTTTAAGAGAGGACCAAAGTGTCGGCAAAATCTGAATTCATGGACAGACAAAAATGTCACCTTCATCTTCATCAAAACAAAAGGTCCTTGTGTATAGGAAACTAATAACACATCTGCATTGCTACCATACACACTGGATCCATTCTTGAATTCACTTGCACTCTTTACTCACACTCTTGGGAGCAAAAAGAGTCTCATTATGCAAACAAAAAATTGCAGGGTTATGGGGTATCTGTAATGCTCTCTCGCACCGCATTCCTAGTCGATTTAGTGACTGAAAAAATCGGTCGAGTTCTGAGGATCGACTCCATTGAAGGTGGTAACGCGTGGAAAGGCGTCGACATGTTGATATTTAACACATGGCATTGGTGGGTTCACAAAGATGGCAAACAACCGTATGAATCTGCAGCCTGCTATGGACTAAAAACTTAACATAGTTCTATAGAGAGTGATTGATCGATGCAAATGGTTTTGGTGTTGCAGATGGGACTACATTCAAGAAGGAAACAAGATGTACAAAGATATGGATCGTTTGGTTGCTTTTGAGAAAGGGTTGACAACATGGTCTAAATGGGTCGACTCCAATATTGATCCAGCCATAAGAAAAGTATTCTTTCAGGGCATTTCTCCTACCCATTATAAGTATGCTCTTGGGCTCTTGTTATTAATTATATAATAATCTATTTATTAAGAGAAAAAGTAGCTAGAATTAAAGAAGAAATTAAAGCAATTTGTGTAGATCCAAAGTGGTCAATGGTTGTGGTGGACTACCACCACATTGAATGGTCTAATGGGTGTTAGCTACTTTTCTAAAGCACAAAGAATCAATGTTCTTTAAAGAAGGACCGGACTAGCATCATGTTGACTGGCCATTTGAAACCACAGAACTATTTTGGGGCAATAGTTTTGAAATACTGCCTTGCAGGGACATTGCAAACACAAAGCTTGAGTCAAGTTCAACTCAATGCTCCCAGCCATCTGGACCTAGGGCTGTCAATGGACCAGGTTTGGGTTGGGCCCAATCCGATTAAGCTTATCAAATCGGATTGGACCAATATTACATGGACCATTATATTATAGGATTGGATTGGAATTTATCATATTGTGTCCATTCAAAATCTGATCCAATTTCAAATTGAATTGGAAACTCGTATTCTCATTCCCAATCAATTTCTCACTTACAAAATAGGTCTTCCTCTCTCTCTCTCTCTGAACCTATCCTCTCATTCTTTTCAGCCTGAGATTTTACTATTGCATCAAACCCGAAATGCAAGTCAACCTAATATGAGTCTCTGTGTCTATCAATCACATTTCATTGTTGAAAGTTGAAACTCAACTACTTGAAATTTTGGGTGAAAGCATATCCCATGAGATCAACATGTACAGGATCACCAGAATGCATGCTCAGGGATGGATCCCTGTGTTGTGTTGAATCCAAGCAATTCTTCTCTTAGAATCATAAAAACTTTTTACTGATATAATTTCATGTTTCTCTCTCTGTGAATTCCAAATAAACAGTGGCAGCGAATGGAATCAGCCCAAGATGAACTGCAATGGGCAAACACAGCCTCTAAATGGGTCTGCCTACCCAGGGGGTTCACCTCCAGCGGTAGCCGTGGTGAAGAATGTCTTGAGTAAGATGTCCAACCCTGTTGATTTGCTTGATATCACAACACTGTCACAGTTGAGAAAAGATGGGCACCCATCTATCTACGGCCTTGATGGGAAGAAGGGAACAGATTGCAGCCATTGGTGTCTTGCTGGTGTTCCTGATACTTGGAACCATCTCTTATACGCATCTCTCATTCTCACTAAAGATGGCCAAATATAGCCATGCTATTTATTTGTGGAGAACAAATTAAGATCATGATTTGTTGAATAACATCATTGTTCTTCAAAATTGTTGGAAATAAAATTAAAATGTCTCTGTTTGTTTGCAATGCAATTTCATTTGCGCCAGTACAAATACATGGAAGTAAAAAATCGAAAAAGTGTGTGAATTCTGCTTCACTTTTGCTTCAGGGTTTTACTTTATTCTGCTTCAAGTTTTAACTTATTTCATTTACTCTGCAAACAAATGAAAGCAAAATTTCAAAACAAAAATTAATAAATCAAAATTTACTTTTGCACCAGTGCAAATGGAATTGCATTACTAACAAACTAGGCCTAGATGGTCGAAGCCTTCCAGAAATGTGCAAGGGAGGTGGCAACATTACCTGGAGAAGCATCAAATCAGACATGAATCAATCTCTTTGAGTTGCACAAAGAAATGTTACCTAAGGCTGCCTTTGGAAACAAATACAAATAGAGTGTAAATCCCGGTTCAGGGTAAATTTACATTCTAGTTCACTTTTGCCTGTGTTTGGTAATATTATATTTTTTTTTTGGTGAAAACAAATGGATTTCATTAAGCAGAAAAGGATGATACAACACAGACCAATGCATATTTATATTTATGCATTGACAAATGACAGACCAATGCATATTTACATTTATGCATTGACAAATGACAGACCAATGCATATTTACATTGATAATAAGATGTAAAAGTACATCAATAAAAAAAAAGTAAATTAATTTGCATTCAAATAAGCTTTTGATAAAAAGGCATATGCTTTATTGGAATTCCTGTTTGCATCCATTACAGCTAAAAGTCTATTTGTTAAGAAGGTAAATTGGTCAGTGCAAAACTAACCCAACTTTATAATTTATATGAATCATTTTACACTATATATTTACATTCAAACTTATTTGCATTGTTTCTAAACACAGCCTAAATGAAACGCAAAGACGAGATGCTATTAAATGCTCGGAGTTTGACATGAGACTATTAAGCTCATTTATTTATTTATATTTTTAGTTGATAACTACTACTATATGAGATCAAACCGCTTTTCCAGGCTCTTAATCTTCTGGTTTAGCATGAGAAGTTCAGTTTCTTCAAAACTCTGATATAATAATCTTCTCCTTATTAGCATTTTTTATGAACTAGCCTGAAAATCAAGATATGCATTGTTTCACTAAGCTAACATCTGTCCAAGTAAACAGGGAAAGGGTCCACCATTAGATGGGTCACACATTAAAGAATTAGTTGTACAAAAATTATCCCAATGATAAATACTTGATCAGAATCAGACTCCAATAGCAGTAGAAAAGCTAGCTACCGTTGTTTTAATTTTTGATAAGGATTTGATGGAATTCATGAAAGCAACTATTAGGACTACAGTAAATCAAAATCCAGAGAGCTAAAAGTTAAGTTAGCTAAGTTGTTCAATTTTTTTGCAACGGTACTGATCTTTTAGCTTTTAGGTAAGTGGCCACATGAATTGGGTAGGGGTGGAGGTAGCCGGGTAGGGACCATGTCCTATTTATGTTGTTTTATGGTTTTAGATGTCAGCAAAACATAATCCAAAATAAAAATGATTAGGCCTAGTTTGTTTGCATTGCAATTTCATTTGTGCTGGTGCAAATCTACGTAAGTGCAAATTCTATACTTTAATTTTGTTTCAGTATTTTGTTTTAACTGTATTACATATGAAATAAAATAAAACCTGAATCAAACCAAAATAAAACCTTAATGCTCAGTTTGGAAGGAGTACAAATGCAAATATATAGAATGCAAAGTCTTATATTTTTGTATTATTTTGTATGTATTTTGCATTGTACATATTGCATTTGTACTCCTTCCAAACTGAGACTAAGCAAAGGTCTGGTTTAATACTAAAATACATCGTTGCTAGTTCCCAAAGACCGCTGCCCAATTTTAATTTTTGCTTCTAGGCGGCGGTCTCTTTAAAAGCTCTACCTTAGTTCTCACCATAGCGGCAGTCTTAAATGACCGCTGACACCAAACCCTGGTTTAGGCAGATTTTCTTGTAGGGTCTCATGCATTTGTATTAATTCTAATGAGATTGCACTACAAAAAAACATATGCCATGCAAATTGCAAGAGGTGTCGTCATCTTATCTAGTAAGAGTTATCAATTCAGAACAAAAAATACGAAGTATGGATTTGTCCAAAGCAGATTTCTGATTTACACCGCAGAGTAGGGCTGTTCATGGATCGGGTTGGGTTGGTTTAGTAGTGCTTTTTCAACCGATCCGACTTGGTTGGGTTACCTATAGACTAAATCGAAATCGACCCTCTATTAAGTAAAATCGACTTGATCGGTTTGAGTCGGTTTGGGTCGATTTGGATTGGTTTGGGTTTTAGCCAACTCCAAGGTTGCACAATGCACATGAAGTCAAAGTGCAAATATTATATATAATATTTTAGAATATATTTTTTGGAAATATATATTTAAAACCAAAACATATATACAAATATATCAAAATATATATTTTCTAATTTTTGGAAATATATATCTGATATATTTCAGAATATATTTTTTCAGATATATATTTATTATTTAAAACTAAAATATCTATATTTAATAGATATTTTTTCAGAATATATATTTTTTCACATAACTCGGTTCGGTTTCGGTTTTCACATATGAAATTGAAACCGAATCGAACCGAATTATTGGTTTGTTCATTTTTGCAACCTGAAACTGACCGGTAGTGAAGAAAAACTGGCTAACTCGGGTTGGGCCGGGCCGGGTTGGTCAGTTTGGATTTATTTGTGAACAGCCCTATTACAGAGCTACAAACATTCAAAAGGACCACAACCCACACTCTATGCACCAATGTCCACCCATAAATTGGCATCAATTCTGAGCTAACACCTACCCCAACAGTACTTTGAACCTACAAATTTTGACCCTGGGCTGATCAGTCATTCTCCCAAAAAAATACATATTTTTTTTTGTCTGTTTAGAAGCATAATACTTGTGCTATGTCAACCTATAGATTCGATTGATTTTTAGAATCACAAAAAAATATACTTTAATCTGACTATTAAAAAACATTGCAATCAATGTAATGTCAAGTCACCCCAAACTCATGCATAAATAGTATAAATCGAATTTAGAAAGCTTGTGACCGTTATAGCGCTATTGGGAAGGGGTTAAACTATTCTTAAAAATGTTTAAAACTTATTGCCAACATTGCTAAAGTCTTACTAGAAGAAGAAAGAGCCATTGAGCTTTTGAACGAAAAAAAAAAAAATCTTCTTTCTTTGTAGAGTAGTTGATTATCACAGCCAACGGTTGATTGTTTTAATTTGTCAAAAGTAGGTGATCAACTACTAGAGGTTCAAGTAGGCAATTACTATTCATAAGAGAGAATATTTTCTCTTCTAGTCAACTACTATCAATTACTCATGTAACTTGTTAACGGTTGTTAGACATAGTCGAATACTAACTTTTCATTAATTGACTACAAGCAAGAGCCAATGTGACACCACACTTGCTGTCATAGGTAGCTGGCTACTTACTAATACCCATCTCTACTGTCATAAGTAATTAATTATTTCCTTATGGCCAATTGACTATTAATTATCTATAATCTTAGAAACTTTAATTAGTGAATGACTCGTAAGATATGGGAGTTGACTTCTTAGATTTTCATACTTAGAATTTTCACAGTTTAGTATAAAGTTTAAGAAAATTCTAGTCATTTTTTCCGTTTAAACCATTGGTCTCTAAGGTTTTAGTAATAGCAATGTAAGTTTTAATTAAGCCTGTGCATCTTATAAATAATTACATCAAGTCCTTAAGGTTGCATTTGTTTAGTGTAAATACACTTTTACATCATGAAATTATGTATATGTTTGGTTTTGTTTACGTTTATTGAGTAAACGTTTATCAACGGTGTCACATAGGCACCCTGTCAACAAATGCCTCATTAATTGCATTTATGTATATTGAAGTTTGTAAAAGTAAACTTCGGTTTTTGTACACCTCTCCTGTTTCAGGAATCTTCATTTTGGAGTTCTTGAAATTGGTATTTTGCTGATGTGGTGCTTAATGACACATATGTGTCATAAACGCCCTCATTAAATATATTTTTTGATTTTACAATCACACAAGTACAAAACATTTATCGAATAAACGTAAGCGGAACCAAACACCCAGTATGTCATGTCCAATTTAGGAGAATGTAAAATGGGGACCGAAGCATTGTACCCATTTACACTCATCCCATTTGGTTACAAGGAGGTAAATGCATAATGCAACTTTTACATGTGCTTGGTTGATATACAATACAAGTAAAAAGGAAAACATATGTAATGACCATTGGCCATCGTCATTTGTGTTTTCCTTCCCCATCTTGTCCCTGCAACAGGGTAGTTTATTTTTTACTAGTTCAAGACTTCAAGCTGATATCCCACAATTCCAAAACCATCTTTCTCCATCACTGGATCCGAAAACTTTAATTGCTTAGCAATGGCCTTAGAGTTGGTGAAAAGTGAAAACCTTGAAAGGATTAGTAGAGAACTCAACCTTGTTCACAATTTCGGTGCCGCATCCAAGGGATTGGTTTCAACAGCAATCCATGACCTCCAAGAATCCTTTCAAGGAAACTAGGGAAGTTCTCAGCATCATAGGTGGTGATGAGATGACCAAGAGGCATAAATGGCGGCATTGTGAGCCATGGGCCATTGCCGATAGTGTTAGCCAGAGATTATCCCTGGGTTTGGGGATTATCCATGGTGCTAGAGATGTTAGTTAGGGCAGAAGAAAGAGCATTAATTAGAGGTAGAAGCAGATTTGGTCATGGTTCCAACAAATCCCTCTCTTCCAACCTCAAAGCTTTTTATCAAATCCCTCTCTGCTGCTGATGATGCACGATCTGGCCGGTCTTAGCTGTTGATGATCTCGCCTCTGAAATGRGTAACAGGGACCTGAAACGGGAGGAGAAGAGAAGCTCCGGGGAGAACCCAGCGTAAAGGCTCCGAAGCTCAAGTTAGAATTCTTCAAAGGCAAGAATAACCAGATAGCGCGAAAGTTAGCATACCTCATCCCTGGGGGGGTAGAAGCCTTTTATAACCACCT